AACTTCTTGGCCAATTTCATTTGCATTATTCTAAGAGTTCATTAAGATCTTTAAAGGTGTAATATCTACTCTTAAAAGAAGAGTTCTTCTGTAATTCCAAATTGATCATTAGATCTGTGAAGGAGAAAGGGTTGTTCTCCTTGTTGTTTTTGAATCTCAACACTAGGAAAGGGTATTCCAAGATGTTGGAGGATTCAAGTCTCGTAAGTAATACAAGAATAATGAAAATCTCAAGTTGGAGACTTGAGGACTGGATGTAGGCAAGTTTGGCCGAACCAGTATAAAATCAAGTTTGCAATTCTTCTGCCCTACACTTTTACTTACTTATTATTTAATTGTAGTTGAGTAATTTTTATATCATTACATACATTTTGCTTAAATAAATAAATTTTTAGAAGGTATCTTTAAAAATTGAAAAAGAAAAGAAAAATTAAGATAACTTAATTCACCCTCCTCTTAAGTTATACGAAGCTTATTGACTAACACATTGCTTCCAGTTAAACGTGATTTTTCACATCTCAACTCTAATGCAAACACACGCATAACTGATGTTGCGTTTGGGCATTAGTGTGGAGAGTGGCCTGCTGGACCAGTATCAAATAATGTTCATATTTATGTTTAGGCAGAAAATTAAGGAGAATTAATATTAATACAGATAAGTCTATAATTTTTAAAAAAAAATTAAAGATATAAATTAACATATAAAATACTCTTATAATTATTTATCAATTTAAATTAAAAAAAAATTAAATAATTTCTAATTTTTAAAAAAATTTATTGATCTAACATATATATATATATATAAGAATTTTTAATTTAATGGTTGGATTATTAAAATTTGATGTAAAACATGAATAACTGAATAAAGTAAATTTAGATGGTGTGCGATATTTCTAAATTTTTTTATAAATTCCTAAAATAAATATTATTTATTTATCTAAGATTCATCATTAAAGATAAAAAAATAACGATTTTAGATTTTAAAGGAATCAAAATCAAAGACAAATATTTTACAAGAACTAAAATTAAAATTTATTTATTTTACACAAATAAAAAATAATAATTATAAATTTTTAAAAAATAAAAATAAGAAGACATACATAAAAATTAAAATTAAAATCCATTCATCTTAGATGAACTTAAAAAAAATTAAAGACCGAAAAATTATATAGCTTTCCTCTTAGCTATGAATCCAAAAATTGTAAGATATCACTTTATTGAATAATTTAAGTTGAACAATCAGCTGCTGCATTCATGGGAATGATTGAGGCGGATATTTTCGGTCCCTATATTGACATGACCAAGACTTACCAACAGGCATGGCAGCGGGGTGGGGTTTTTGCTCCTGATATTTGTGGGAATAAAATCTGGGTCCTCATTTTTGCTCCTGGTGAGGTTTGGGTTTTTCCGCCCCGCCCCCGCCCCCATTCTCGCCCCGCTCCTATTTTTTTTTCTTCTTTTTTTTCTTTTAAATAAATATGAACAATTTTAAAAAAAATAAAAAAAAAAGTAAAATATTAGTGCCGGGGGGGGGTGTGGGAGCGGGGCGCGGGGTGGGTATTAACATTCCCGGCCCCGGCCCCGCCTCCGATTTTATCAATTGGGGAAAACCCAAACCCGAACCCGAACCCGATAAACACGGATTTTCCCCATCCAAATCAAGGCGGGTTCGGGTGGGTACCCACGAGGGCGGGTTAGATTTCCATGCCTACTTACCAATATTTTTGGATAACATTAAATGACTTATTCTCGTAATATATTGACTTTAGTATTTATATATAATTATACATTATATTTATCTATGTTTAAAAAATATTTTTTAATAATATATACTTTTTAATTGTCAGTTGTATTAATGATATTTTTCTAAAACATTTTTATTTAATAAATAATTTTTTAGATAAAAAATAATAAAATTTCGAAACTAATTAGACAAAAAATTCTATCTCTTATTAGAATTGTAGAAGATAAAAGATGCATATATATTTTTTTCCAAACATATATATATAATTAAAGTATATTTTATAAAATATCTAAAAGAAAAAATATTAAAATAAATATTGCATTAGTCAAAATAATTATTATATTAATTAAAAAATTATTATTATTACATAATTATTTTCAAAATATACTTTAAAAAAATATAATAATAATTTAAGTCGAAACGATCCAAAATATAATTCTGACCCGTTCTCATAATAGATTAAAATCATTTTTAAATACATAGCATGGAGATTTTCGCTACAACGTCAGTCAATCTGAGTTGGTGAACTACTAAGTTGACAGGATTATAGTAGTTGGAATAGTATAAAAATATATATTTACAAAAATATGTTTAATTTTAATTTTAAAAAAAAATAATTTTTTTTTCTACAAAATGAATTTTATAAAATTTTATTAAAAATAGAAAAATCAAACATTTTTTTTCTGAATTTTAAATTAAAAAATAAAAATTATTTTCAGAAAATAAAAAAAAAATTCTTAAACGAACCCTAAGTTTGGTAAGACCTTATAGGTAACAAGAACCACGTGATGCACGTTTGGGACCACAATTAAAATCCATCAACAAAAAATATCAACTGCAAAATATATAAAAACCTACAAATATTTTTTGTTAAATTACATTTTCATCATTCTATTTTTTGCCCATCAAGAATTTTCATCTTTCTATTTTAAAATATCAATATTTATTGTTTTTATTTTTAAAAATATAATATTTTAATTTTATGATTAATTTAATGTTTGTTAATTATTAAACTTTGATAATATATAATACAATAAAGAGACCAAATTGTGGATTGATAAAAAATTAAAATTAAAATACAATTTAACCAATATTTTTATAGACCTTCTTATGGTTTTATATAAAAATATTAAGGATTAAATATTTTAAATATATCTATTTAATATTTAGTGTAGGAAAAAGTAAAAGAATTTGTGAAAAAAATATTGTAAAAGATTTAAATCATTGAAAAAGAGAATAGAAAGATAAAAGGAGAGGAAAAAAAGTAGATGATATAAAAAAGTGATACGGTGAATAAGAGGGAAAAAAATATAGAAGCAAAGAAAATGTTAGTAATGCTTCACTTGAATGTCCTACATTTTTATTTAAATTTATTAAAAAGTTATAAAATTATGTGACTTTCACTTTTTATTTTGTAAGTTATACTCATGGTTCATTTCGATGATTTAAATATATTTTTAGTTTTTATAAAATGAGTATATTTTGATTTTATTTTGATTATTTTTTTATTTTTTATTTTTTTAAAATTTGAAATTATTGTTTAAGTTTTTACTATTATGTAATCCCTTTTTAATAATTTATGTGTTCGTTAGAAAGTTATATAGTTATTATATGTGATACTTACAATTATATGTTATATTTCTATTTTTTTTAATAAACTTTTAAATTAAGTATTATATATATATATATATATATATATATATATATCTTAAAATA